TGGTTGGCTGCTTGATTACTGTTGAAAAAAAAATTAGGAAAACTGGGGTGCTGTGAGGAGCAGGCTGGTGCTTAAAACAAAACCTGCTTTGGAGAGCCTTTTCCAAGGCTTTCGAGTCAAGTACAAATGGGTGAGATTCAGTAACTGCTGAATTCTTTGGACTACGTTTTCTGGTGGCCATATTTAGAATATTTTTACAATTTGTATGTTAACTGCAGTCTATCCAAAAGCAAAGGAAGCAGAGGACAACAGAGTGAAACCAAAGATCTTGGTTAACCTGTTTTTAAGGTAGTGATGTGTACATTCTTTTCAAGGAGATCTCTGTTACTGTATAGTTAAAAAGCAGTGTGTACATCCTGCATGTTGATTTCTATGTGTAGATGTGAAAGCAGGTAACCGTAAGATTATTCAGCATTTTTCAAGGTTGAAAAGGAAGGAGATTCGAGCAGTCTTGTGTGCTGATGCTTGAGGTCTGCCTGTGTACTCTTGAACAGCAGATTCTGGTTAGAAATTGTGTTTTGTGAAAGCTCTTTTCATTCCTGCGTTGGGAAGGATTTAGCGCTCTGATTCCACAGTGGGGAGGAAAAAAAAAAAAAGGCTGGTAAAGTATTAAGAGTTTATGCCGTTGTTGTGAACCAGTGCTTGTGACCTTTGTATTGGAAGCAGTTCTCCGAGATTAAAAATGTGAGGATGAGTGTTTGGCTTTTACAGGCACCTGGCTAATTCTTACCTTGTACTGCTGCTGTGGGCTCCAAGATAAAAGAAAAATTACGACGCTTGTGTTTGAAACCAGTAGCATAAAGAGGTGTCAAGGAACAGCATCTGTAGCAGCAGAGAGAATCAGTAAACTATTCAAACAAGAGTTAACTTAGTTTCAGGTCTGATTTTTGGCAGTATTTTTGCTGAAAGCTGGTGCTGTTGAAGAATACAATGCAGTTACCAGTGCAGAGGCAAGGCTTTACACTGTTACAGTTTCAGAGCTAATACCACAATACAAACACCTTGGCTTTATTTTTTTTTTTTTGGTCCTGTTTGCTTTCAGTGAACATTGGAGACAAGGCTTCCTGGAGTGTCTGCAGAACATGTTATTACTATGGAGACAGTTGTAGAAACTAACACTTTAAAATAACGTGTATTTGCAGTTGAAATATCCTGTGTGTGTATTTCAACTGTATATGAGTATGTGAGGGTGAGTTTGGCATATTTACAACAGAAAGTAGTAAGATAAATTATATGAGAGGAGCCAAATGTAAAATTCACACTATATAGCCAGGTTATCTGCAAACAGAAAGCCTGGTGTTATTGGACCCATAGCACCAGAATTTCATGAAAGGGGGGAAAAGCACAAGGTGCTGTTTTGTAGCTGTTACTGATGTTGGTTCAGAGTTTAGCAATGTTAAGCTCTTTCCAGGCAGCTGGGACTCTGACTACAAAGTCCAGCCTCTGAAGAAAGGCAAACTAAATGAAGTTTTATGACCCTCTTTGTTTAGTTTTTAACTTGTCCAACCTTCCTACCCTCCTTGCTGAAGAAAATGAAATTACATAGTACTTCCTGCACAATTTTAGTCAAGTATTTCTCCTTTATACATCTTACAGTCTGAAGTGCCAAGTATTGAATTAAAGATTTGATCCTGAGAAACTGTACAGCATAGCAAACATGTGACTTCAAAATTTATGTTATTAGTTAAAGGGAAGAAAAAGCCGTTAACTATTAATGTCTCTGTTTTAATGTCATGTTGCCTGCACACTTGGGGATTAAAAGCCACACGCTGTTGAGGCTTGCTTCTCTTTATTTCCAAATACTTCGGCCTCTCAAGGCGTGGAAGGTGGATGGTGTGGGCTGATCTTGCCTTGGGTGAAGGGAGGCTGTGGGCAGGTGGCAGAGGGGAGCTGCGCCGGGGAACTCAGCTCCACCTCCTCTGGCAGATAGGGAGCAGCGAAACAGCCAAATGTCTCCCTGCGAGGTTTGGGACGGAGGAGGGTGAAAGCCTTACGTAGCTTGGACTCTGGAGGAGTGGAGGAACAGTGGAATTTGTTTACCACTGTATCATGGAAGAGAGAAACTTTAGCAACTGCTCCACTGAGATCCTAAGAATTCCTGCTCTGAGTTTTCATCTTTGTGTTTCCCAAGTTGTATGCTCAGGCAGCGTAAAGCCGATAAACCACTCGTCCTCTTGATTTGCCTGGCAACATTTAGAACTGGGCCCTCCCTTAAGTAGAGCAGGAAGTGTTACTGTGTCTCTGCAATTAGAGCAGTTGGGAAATAGATGACTCCTACCCTCTCTGTGGGTATTTAAAACAAGCCCAACCTACCCTGTGTACATTCCTGGGTAAACAGCCTGGTAAGTTACAGGTTCTTGTCACAGGACTTCCCCTCCTCCCCCCAGTACAGATCTGGTTTATGCAAGTGATTCAATCTTCAGGGCTCCAGGCTATGGTTTTCAGTTGTTTGGAGTAGGCTGGAGTGCAACTAGGTGGGAGCATCTGGCCTCTAGCAACAGCTGAACATGGAGAGCAGCACTGAAATGCCTCACCTAGAAGGCAAGTGCAGTCTGCAGTCCTGTTGCACTCAGCTGGGGAAGCCTGGCAAGTTTCTGGAGGTAAATAACCTGTCTTTTACAATAAACTTAAGTGCTCACCATTCAATTTTTAAGTAGGCTGGGAGGGACAAAGTCTAAAACACTTCCAACTTCACACTCCTTTCGTAGGTGATAAGACTGACCTGAAGTCTCCACCCATGCTGCCAAAATGCACATGTCACAGCCCTGGGGCCAGTTTATCAGTGTGTGGCAGACACACACGCTGTTCTGGGGGGAAAACACAGCTTTTCCCCTTTGGTTTCTAAGGCTTCTTCCATGGTTGGAAAACATGGGACACGGACATCAACATTAACACATTTGCTTCCCCGGCTGAGTCTGAGGGAAGGAGAGCTAGGAGCTACAGTGTAGCTTTTGAGTGCCAAAGAAGAAGAGAGGGGGCTGGTTAGGACATACCTGTGTCACTCTGGAATCAGGCG